AAAGTGAGAGTCTTACTTCTCATGCAAAATGGCTCGCAAAATCTTTTAAACGCAATTTCAAGAAAAGGAAGATTGTGTGTATATATATATATATATATTCATTTTAACCTCGTTAAAGCTTTAATTGAATCTGTAGCTGTGATAAAAGTGTTTATACCAGCCTTGACGAAATCTTGCATAAAAATTCTTCAAATTTTGCATAAAAATTCAACTATTTTCGCATTTTAATTTTTAAATAAATTTGAAATAAAGCAGCAGAGTTCTTTTGTAATTTCAAATACCTCAATGTAATCCGCAAAATACACCAAAGTTAAGCAAACAAAACATTAATACACATCTTTTTCTTCCTGAAAGAAAATACCATTACTGAATCGCATTTCACTTCAGGGCACGATTTAAAGTTTATTCACTTGGGAGTGTTGTCATTGATGCAATTTGGATGAAACCGTCTTTGTATAAATGTTGGTTTCTTTACTTTTGTTAACAAAAAGACTGCAGAAGCATTCCTTGTTTATTTTTTTTCTAAAAATTAAAGCAAAAATACTTTTATTTTTCTATTTTTTATAGCACATTTTGTACTTAACGATCTTGAGTTTTTAGTAGATGGCGTTTTCTTAACGACACTAAAGAGATAAAATGTATTTTTAACCCTTTGATGCTGAATTTTTAATAAATATATTTGTCATACTTCTTTTTTTTTTGTGTTAATTTTAGGTCAAAATAACTTAAACATGTTATATTTAGCATTTTAATAACTTATGTTATGAATGTTTCCTTTTTTTTCAGTTTCCCTTAACTTTTTTTTAAACTTTTTTATGAAATACATCATAAAACACTGTAGTCTTTTTCTGCGTTAAAGCAAAAGTCTTTCAAACACGGCTCACTTCCAAACAACAATTTTTCAAATTTGCACTTTTTTGCAGTTATTTAGATCTGAAAGAAGCAGTTATTTCTCATCGAAATGTCTATAATTTACTAAATCATTTATTGATGAACTTTTGAATATGAATGAAAACGAAACTTAAAAAAATATATTTTGGGACTTTATATTTTAGAACAAATGTAATTTCTATAATCTATCAGATTTTTCAGTAACTATTGCACCCTTTTTAATAAGTAAAAAATTACCAAAATATATTTTACTTGTTTTTACATCGTCAGAAATACATAAATATCATATATGGGTCATTCTCACGAAAACTGTCATTTTTCAGTTCATAAAATCCCAAAAAAGTAAAGTGAATAAAAAGCTCTGAAACTTTTCATATTAATAGAAATATGTAATGGCATTATAAAGAAAGTATATATCCTATAAATTATACTTAATATTTAAATTAATTTATTTATTAACTAATTAATTTATAATTAATTAATTTATAATA